ACACACACACACACTGATACACACACACACACACAGAGGAAAAGGCTGGTGACACACATAGACGTTAACATAAACAATACCTGACAAACTCTAACTGAACAGACAGAACTTGAGTACACAGACCAAGCGAGGATCATTAACTAGACACACCTGAACTTAATGATGAACTCAAATCAGAACCATGATAACTAACTAAACCGTGAAAAAGTCCAAACAGTGACATGGTGTGACAATTATTATTTAGGCATTACTGTTATAATAAAATAGGGCTGCCAATTTAATCTGTTAATTTAGTATGATTATAAGAAAAATAATGACAAAAAATAACCTTATTAATCATGACCCTTAACTTATACACAAATTCCATAAAAAGGAATTTTCCCATTTCACCACTTTTGTTGTTGTTGTTGTTGTAATATTTAATACTTTACTCATCTGCAACATTTTTTTTTTTGGTTTTAAACCAATATTGATATCATTTATATAAGCTTAATATTATAAATAAACAGGAATTTGAATTATTTAATACATTAATTATTTAATCATTATATCAAGTAATTAATTTGGTTTAATAAATTTTTTTTATATATATAAAATTAAAATTCAATTCAAATGTAATTTAACCAAATGACAAATATAACATTTATATGAAAGATAAGCATAAGTAAATAATTAGGTAATAGTTCTGGTGGATGTTAACGGTGAGCTGGGTGCATTATAAAGAGCTGTGCGATCAAAGCAAAGCAGGGCCGGAGAAACCAGACGGCAGTCCATTTGGAAAAGTTCTGCTGGTTTTTGTTCGGAGGCTCAATCAATGGCGAGGAGATCTTCTGAAGCAGCGGGGCCCCTCCTCAAAGGGCCGAGGGCCTCGTCTCTTCAAAGCCTCGGCCGTCCATTAGGATGAATCAGGCCGGGTCTGTTCCTGCACAGCGCCGCTAACAAGCCGCCGTTATTCTCTCCGGCTAATCTGCGGTTTTATAGATCCGTCTGCACCTGATGGGCTTCTAGCTCTCCGTCTGTCTCTCTCTGACGCTCGGCCCGACTGCAGCAGCAGGCTTCACTGAATGGGGCAGTGTTTCTGAGCGGTCAGCGCTATAACTGACCCGTCTGAACTTCATAAAGAGCTGTTCTTCATGCTCTAAAGACACACGTGAATCTGTGAAAGTCACATTCGCTAAGCATGGGAGCGAGAAACAAACACGCCGCAGAGAGGGAAACTCTTGTTTATATATATATATATATATATATTAGGGCTGTCAGTCGATTAAACTTTTTAATCTAATTAATTACATGATGTGTCAATTAATTAATCTAATTAATCGCAAAACTACATTTGGCTGTAAAAATACCCCCCGAAAGATTATTTAAAGCTATTTTTTGTGTTAAATGAGAAAGTATTAAGTATACTATAGACATTACAAATAGTAGCTTTAGAAAGAAATGTTTTATTTAATTCAACATAAAATGAATTACACGTTTAGGCAACAATGGGCTAACATAAACTATGGAACATAAAAGTAGATCATTTGAGAAACATCTGTTTTTTTTTTTCGTTCATGCAATGGTAACCAAAACAGCTTTGTTACCAACAGTCTTCAAAATACCTTCTTTTATGTTCCACAAAAGAAAGTCATTCAGGTTTGAGTAAATGATGACAATTTTTTTATGAAATGATACTAAAACTGCCAGCAGGTGGCGGTAAGTGTCTTTATGAGTCATTCATTCATTCGATTCGTTCAAACGGCTGATTCATTCAGGAATGAAGTAAACGGCTCACTTTATGAATGGGCCTTTGAATCATTGATTCACTCGATTCGTTCAAAACGCGGATTCGTTCACAAACTAAACACAGCAGTGTTACTCGGAGACGCGCAACAATTCTGCTGTGGCTTTATAGGTAATATTTTATTTGCAAAACCAAAAACAGACAAGTGTTTAAAATAGAACACGATATCAACTTCAATATTTACTGAATTGTTGTATGAAAATCTCATTCGGGACAAACAGCACTCGTGTGATTGCTCTCGCTGCTAGTGTGATATCGCTTATCATGTGATATAAATATGACAAAAACTCATACAGGGGCATTTTTTGCCCCAATATCTTGAATTTTTGGCCATAACTGCATTTATAGAGTTGTTGCCTGCATCAAATCAAAGTCCCTTTCTATAGTCTTTGATCATATTTGTCAACAGTCAACTGCATGAAATACTGTATAAGATGATGTCTGGGGGCGGGGCCAGTGCGTTAACTGCGTTAAAATATTTTAATTGTGTTATTTTTCATAACTAATTAATTAAGTTAACGCGTTAAACTGACAGCCCTAATATATATATATATAT